ATCATTAATCGTACAGTTGATTACGACTAATTATTTTTAATCGTCAAGTGCGATTAACATTTTAATCCCTAATTTTTAATCGTTGATCAGATTAACATTTTGCCAACACCGTGTGAAATTATGTTGATATTCACGGAGAAAAATGGACGTTTTCGGAAAAGAGGCGTAGCACCTCCCATACTGACTGAAAGTTTCATATTGCATATCTCTTCAAATGTTTGGGGTAAAGTACTCAAGCTTGGTTTGGAAATACGTATGTATGTATGTATGTGAAACTAATACCATACTCATGGAGAAAAATGAGAGTTATTGGAAAAGGTGGTGTGGCAACTCCCATGCAAATTGATTTTTCTATGCTGCATATCTCTGGAGGTGTTTATTGCAGAGGACTGGAACTTGGCACCGAGATGTGTATACAAAATTAATTCCATACTCATGGAGAAAAATTTGCGTTATTCGAAAAGGTGACATGGTACCTCCCGTACAAATTTACTGTTTTATACTGCTTGTCTCTAGAGCTGTTCATGGTAGAGTACTGGGACTTAGTACTGGGGTATGTAAAATCAATTCTAAATTCATGGAAGAAGACTAGGGTTATATGAAAAAGGGGCGTGGCACTTCCTGTACAAATTGACTTTTTCTTGCCACATATCCCTGGAAGTGTTTGTGGAAGAATACTGGAACTTGGTATGGAGTTGTGTATACAAAATGTATCAATTGCTAATGGAAAAAATGTCAGTTATTAAAAAAGAAGGCATGTCGCCTCCCATACATACTAAAAACTTCTTAATACATATCTCTGGAAGGATAGAAAATCTCTGGAAGTATTTTAAATTTGTTATGGAGATTTATTCTATAAGTGCCGTACTGACAGAAAAAAATTAATTTAATGGAAAAGGGAGAGCCGTGTTCGGCCTTATAATCTAAAGCTCTCTTGAGGCATTTGCTCAGTAATGAGAAGTGGTATTTTATCAAGGCCAGGTTACAAAATTTGAGTTGGAAATATTAGAACCCGCCTTGGCACCTCCAAGAAGGTTACACGTTCGCGCGTCGTATTACTGGAACCATTTTAAAGTAAACTTAGAGGGATTGATATCTTTCGTATGCCTAGCGCGCAGATGAGATTTTATAATTTCATTGTTTTAAATGGCCTAAATACCTTAACTCGCTTAAAAAATAACGAGCTATAATGAAATGTGCACAGAAATAAAATATAAAGTCATTAAATTATTTTACATACTTGCATAAAAACGTGGGGTGAAACCCGCGGGTATAAGCTAGTAATTAATAATTAATAAAAATATGAAATGAAAAAAAAATCTTTGGAATCGCTCGGAGTGGGGACCGAATCTGGGTGCTATTGCGTTTACTATTTCAACAACAAAACAAAACTTAGAACCTTATTTTACCATTTTAAAATCGCGTTCTCCTCATTTTAAACTTAAAATTTTGTTTTTACCGTAAAATGTATTTTAAGTTGACTATGAAATAATTAAAATGGTGATTACAATAAAACACAATTTCAATCGTTAAAACTTTTTACAACGCTTTTATCAACTTGCAATGTTGTGCGTCCAGAAACTTTCAATGTTGTGGATCCAGAAACTTTCAATGTTGTGTGTCCGACACCAAAGCAAAGCTTTGAAAAGTTCCTATAAAAAAGCATAGTGCATAGGGCGACAGCTGTAGTGAATAGGGCGAGGTAGATGACATCTAGATGTCGCCCTATGCNAATTAATTGGTGCTCGTTTGTATGTACATACATATGTAAATGCATGTGTGTGCACCTTTCTATTAATATCGTTCGTTGAATTATTTTAATATCTATTGCAAACTTTTATTCAGACTAAAAAGTAGAAAATAAATAATATAAAAAAAAACTTTTTAATATACAACGCTTTTATAAATGGACTAAAAAGTAGAAAATAATATTTCTCAGTCCCATAGAATTTGTTTTGATAACTTTTGATTTTGAAATTTTAGCAAAAGTCATTATAAACAATCTATGAAATTGAAAATGAAAAACGTGGNTAGGAGAAAAATTGTCAAGACTGGTCAAAATATTGAGGTTCTACTGTTTTGTCGTGGGCTGTATTGAACTTTTAAGTTTTTTTTAAATAAATTTATACTGTCATGGCAGTCCGCCATTTGGTGACATAAAATACCTTTCGTATTCTTCTCGTATGAGTTTTGCTTGTGGTTGTATATATCGCGGCAAAGATTCCGTCATCGGACTTCAAGAAAAATTATAATTTCACTACAAATTAAATTAAAAGTTATGTTGCTTCCGAAAACAAGGATATTAATTTCAGTGATTTTTGGACACATAAGGAAGCAAAAAAGTAAATTATTAATAAACAGCCTAAATATTGATGTGTATTGTTCACTTCAATTGCCGCACAAGAATACAATAAATATTGCCGCAATTGTGAAATTTTCATTTCATTCACACGATTGCCGCACACGGGCCGTATTTGATTGGGCACAGTAAGCACAATATCAGCCTCTATTGCCGCATGAGTCAATGTATTGTGAAATCACACGATTGGGGCATAAAATGAGGCAATAATTGGTGTATTGTGGCAATCGTGGGATCCCAGCTTTAGAATAAAATATTTTTAAACAAACAAAAAATTAATAATAAAATTTGAAAGATTTTAAATACTGTGAAGGTAGCATGAAATTTTACAATCTGCTTAATTGTCACGTGGTTTTTTTCATCATAGAAACCCATAGCAACTGATATCAAGCTTACAGTGGGATAAACTTAAAACCTCTAATATAAATTAGTTAAATTTAGTTAAGATTTTTTTATCAATTTTAAGTTTTCGTTTGGAATAATTTTCATGAACTAATCTATTAAGAGATCTTTTTAGAAAATTGCCGTACATCCGATACCTATTGAAATTTTGACATCCTCACTTTTTGGAAAAAGAAGTTCATGATACAAGTTTATGTGCAAAAAATAAATTAAACAATAAAAGTCTCCTAATATTTATGGAACTTATAATAGAAAAATTTGTATTTCATAACCCAGACTTTATGAATAGCCTACTCTATAAGTAATAGTAGAAATTCCGAATTAGTAAGTTCAGTCAAGATGACATTCAAAAGTTTTGAAGAAAATCACTTTTCT